ACCCTGGAAGGGCTACCCCTATGTCCTGCTGAGACTCTGGGAGAAAGCATGTCTGCTGCCCTGACCCCAGGACACTCACAATTAACGTATTCTCTAGAAAGGAGAAGTAAAATGGTTTCAAGGAGAGGGGAGGGTATGACATAAGTGGTAGAGCACATGCTTAGCATGTACAAGGTCCTGGGTTCAATTCCTACTACCTCCATCAAAAAACATAAGTAAACCTAATTACCACCACCACCACCCCTCCAAAAAAAATAAACAAAATGGTTACGAGAGGATGTCGGAGGGTCAGGGTGTTAAGAGAAAGGATTAAAGGAAAGAGGAAGAGTCCACGATTCATAAAGATGAAGATTATTACCTACAACCATATAATCTAAATGGTGTGGATACAAGGAACATGCATTACCCCTAAATTACAGAATTCTACAAATACACCTGCATCACATAGATGATTAAAAATAGATGTAAGGTACACAAAAATATTTCTCTAAACAGAATACTGATCTATAGAAGCCACCACCTTAAGATGTACTGTATGAGCATCAGCAGCCGATCCTCATTACCAGCAGCGGGTGTGTGGATTCTAACTGCTCCTCAGGCAAATATAGGGTTAGGGTTCTGCCACTCTTTGGTAACAACAGCTTCATCAACTGATCAATACTTACATAACCTTGTTTTCTGTATGTCTCTGTTTAACGACACTTTATTTAGTATCTATTGTTGATTCATTAACACTGGATTCCTGAACAACGACACTGTAGCTCATACCTGAACGAAGCTTACCACCACGTGTTTTCTCCACCAGGCACAGCACAGTCTTCTGTTTACGAGCACGACATAACTTTAGCCCTTTGTTCAAGGGGCCATTTTAAACAACAAAATCACCCAAAATAGCACACAAGTGCAGAAAGCATGGGCACTAAGTAGACCAGAAAAGGGACATTTGTTCCACAATTCAAGAGCTGAAATATCTTGTTTAGCCCCAGTGAATGTATGTCTTAGGTGATACAAACCTTGACAGACCATGTACACACCAACGAAAGACCATGAAAGAGCCTCAAATATTGATTTTTGGAATTACAAATAAATTTTAGCAAGTAGGCAAATACACAAATATACAACCAGCGAGAAAGGAGGACTGACTGTACATAAATACTTGTAAGACAGCTCTACAATAAGAGATAAAGGGAAACTAGGATGTTTATTTCAAAGATGAGTGGACTCCCTGCAAAGAACAAATATCTTCCTGCAAACTATCCTCTGGGTATAAAGAGAGTAAAGACGAGACTCTTAAGTAGAGTAAGAAATCAGGCCAAACTGATCTGATTCGTAGGAAAGCCTGCACCAGGTAACAAGGAAGCACCAGAGAACAACCAGGGATCTCAAGGACTATCTGGTCCCACTGTAGGCATTCAGAGCAAACCCATCGATCCTCAGAATCCAGTAGGGGAACCACCACAATTCTACGAGCTGGACACAAAGTCAGGAAACCGAGAGCCCATTAGGATAAAGATCTTAAGGAAAAGTCTCCCTGCATTATGTATTTTGTAATCCATAAAATCAAATGTGACAAGACCGTCCTGATTAGTAAGCCTGTCATCCTGCCTGCCCCAGGTCTGGACCTGTAACATTCAGCCCCAAAGACAAGGTGCAGACTGGCAAATGGCAGGTGCATGCCCACTAGTGACTGTGGCTGGAAATCATTAGCCATCCTCCACCAGGGTCACCTAGCCCGAGGTCACCATCTAACCCCACACTGGGCCACCTCCCCTGCTCTAACCTGGGGGTGTTACCCTTTGAGGTCTGAACCAGTCCTCCTTCTGTGTCTCAACCAAGAAGAAACTAGGAAGTAAGACACCGCTCCCACTGCAGATAGGAAAGCAGCGCATGCTGGAAATCTCAGTAGGGACTGGAGGAGACTTTCTAAAATGAGAGAATACAAGGCTCAAGACACTATCCTTTTGAGAAACCTGTGTTCTTAACGAAAACCTGCTGACGTAACAAAAACAAAAAACAAAAAACAAAAACCCACAGCCTATATTGTGCAGTCCCTTTATTTGGTAAAACGTTCTGGAAAATGCCCCAGAGATTTGAAGAATGTGAAAAGACCACCATGAGCTGTTTCAAGAGACCGTCAACTGGAGCCACTGATCCAAACAAAAATATCATGGTTCACAGTAACTTTTAATTTAGGTCTCAAGTTAAACATAAAATTTAACGATCAAGTGGGAATGTAACTGATGTAGCCACGAAGGAAGAGAGTACACCAGTTCTTCAAAAAAAATTAGCATAGAGTTACAGCAACTCCACTTCTGGGGATGCACTAAAAAGAACTGAAACCATGGACTTGAACAGCTATTTGTAAAACTTAGTTCACAGCAGCATTATTCACAATAGCCAAAAGGTGGAGACAACGCAAATGTCCACTGACAGATGAATGGATGGATACACAGAATGCTGAATGCACCTGTACTGGAGTATTATTCAGCCTTAAAAAGGAATTAAATTCTGACGCCTGCTACAACATGGATGGACCTTGAAGACATTGTGCTAATGACATAAGCCAAACACACAAAAATGACAAACACTGTATGATTCCAATTATATGAGTTGCCTAGAGTAGTCAAATTCATAGAGAAGAAGCAGAAGGGTGATGGCTGTGGGGGTGAGGGGGCTGGAGGGTTAGTGTTTAATGGGATGTTCAGACTGGTTAAGACAAAAAGTTCTGGAGACAAATAGTGGTGATGGCCGTACATCAATATGGATGTACTTAATGTCACTAAATGATATATTGGAAAAGAGTTAAATGGTAAATTTTATGTCGTGTATAATTTATCACAGTGTTTTAAAAAGGTAAATAAATAACAGGTGATTTTTACATATGACACATCCCACAAGATCATTCAAAATTGCACACTACTGACTATGAGCTTAGCAGCCATTCCATTTACAACACTCAACCTGATTTTTTCCCAGGACCAGAGATTAGGAGGTGGGGCCTGAACATAAAACCACCAATGTTTGGAAGGGCCTTTCACAGCCAGTCTCTTGCCAGCTTTTGCCCTAAGGAAACACCGCACCTGAAACCTTCAAAGAAGTGTCTTGTTTCTGCACCTCAGCAGGATTCTAGATGCAAGGCTGTGCAGGAGGAAATTTTCATTCCCAGGTTTCTGGAATTTCAGATAACGTTTACGGTTTAACCCCAACAATTCTTGACTTCATAAAGGGACTATTCTCTCAGGTTAATCACGATGGCAAGTTAGTACCTTTGGGAGATGTTTACATTCACATAAGCAAACATGCCAGGTCAGATCAGATTTCCCAAAGGCACCGTTACAGAATGTTAGCAGGAAGACAAAGAAAAACAGGTGGACAATGGCTCACCTGTGCAGCAAAGAGCAAGCTTTGTTTGACTGAACCATCACCTCAAACCTAACTTAAGGTTTTTGGTGGAATTCTAGTGAAATTTCCTATTTATTTACTGGAGCTAAGCATGATCTGCCAAGACAAACATCTGGCTAATTTGTGGGGAAATCTGAGTATCTATCTCCTAAATGGTAGAAGGTGCAACAAAATAACAAAGAGGATGATGAAGGACAATGAAGACCCCTGGATGGGCCCTGTAGTCATGTCCACGTCACCCAAGAGGAAAACTGCTCACGTGCTGTCACCAGTCACGACAGTGAGATGCCAGGGTCCAGGTTCACACAGCCTAGAGATTAACAAGACTCTGCTCAAGGAAAGATGAGGAGGTAACATCTTGCATTTGGCAGAGAAAAGGACTCCCAAGAGACAGAAGTCCTAGAGAAGCAGCAACTAGGTACAGAAGCAGTACTTTTAATTTACATTGTTTGGTTTTAGCCTTCAATTAGGATTTTATTTTTTTAATGAAAATTGTGTATATATATTAAGATGTATAACATGATGTTTTCATACAAATACACACTGGGTAACGATTACTGTAGTTAAACCAGTTAACCATCTCCATCACCTCACGTAGCTAGCCTTTTCTGTGTCTTCTACTGCAGGCAAATTTCAAGTATACAACACAGCTAAATGAGAATTACAAAAAAAAGAAGCCCTTAAGATCTTGACACTGGTGTATCTGTGGCAACTCCTTTGTAAAGACACCTGAAATCCTTCCTTGTCTTACCGCTAAGACCGGAGTAAACTATGGAATGATTTCATGGTATTTTCTCAATACAAAAACACAAACACATCAAATCAGATCTTACTAAAACTGCTATCATGTATACTAAAGAAAAAAATTATACTAGAAAAATAACTTGAATAAAGAGCAACCAAAATTCTCTCCAAAATCAATTAAATCAATGTAAAATTTCAAGTTTAACCCCAAATACCCAACTATTTTCTCTAATACTCTAAGACTAATCACAACTATAGAATATAGTGAATGAGTCTGTATGTGGGGTGGATTCCATCTATATTTTTTCTTTCTTTAAATTTTTATTTTTACTTAAGTATAGTCAGCTTACAATGCTGTGTCAGTTTCTGGTGCACAGCACAATGCATCAGTCATATAGGAACATACATATATTCGTTTCCATATTCTTTTTCACCAATAAGTTACTAAAGATAAAGAATATAGTTCCCGGCACTTACACAGTATGAATCTGTTATCTGTTTTATATATATTAGTTATTATCTGCATATATTTTTCTTTCATTAACACAATTACATCGAATGATTAAATTGGTCATTTCAAAATATAATCATTCCCTTTCTCAAATACAGTCTCCTCACAGATACAAAATTCAATCCATGAAATCTTTTCTAGATCTACTTTGTATTTATAAATTTTATAGATCTTTTCTCATAGATTAACTGTATTGAAGTACAATTGATATTATATAACCTTCGGGTGTAGAATATAGTGATTCACAATTTTTACTAGTTAACGAAATTTTTAATTTACTGAAATCTTTACCGACATGCTTCCAGTGCTTCATGTACACACTTTGGTCCAGAATGACACTTACCTTGCGGTAAATCATATGGCACATGGCTACTCGTAACCGCATCCCCGCACACTGAACGTGGTAGAAGTATAAATGGTGCAGGATGGCCAAGATGAGCACGCAGGTACTCAGCACTGCGGCGTGGCCATAGGCTTCATGCAAAGCCACAGTATCGCTGGGATCATAGTTTTCAAAATAATTAATGATTTTCCCCAAAAATAAGGGCTGAACTACTTTGGTGCCTTCCTAAAAGTAAAGAAAAAAAATCCCTAATTAGAAATATAAGCCATACCAGTTTTTGATTAACACAACTTTTACATTTATTATTTGCAAATTAAAAATGTATTTTGACAAAATGCTACTTTCATAGCTAATCTAAAAGAAAACTAGGTAGATCCACTCTCTTCTCTAAGACAAGCAGGCAACAGTTTTCACCTTAAGCCAAAATTTTACAGAGACAATCAAGCTTTAGTACAGCACACTTGGTACACTGTGGATCTTCAATAAATATTAAAACCAGTGCTTCAGAACGCATCTGGCAAAATTCTGAGTCTTGGCCTAAGACAAATAAGGGAAAAGGTGGCAGCAGAAGGGTAAGGAATTGGCTTACATGTGAACAAGCCCCCTGTTCTCTCAACATCCCAGCCCAACAAAAAGTCAAGATGGCTCATGTATGGAAGGCATGATCTTAACCATCTCCTTCTGCTCTGAGAACCTTTATGCATTGAGACATTGGCACCAACACAGGTCCCATCTTTCCCAGCCCAAACTCAGTGGGTCTGTAGATCAAGAGAATAGAGCGCAGCTTCTGTTGGAATATGTGTCACAAAGAAACCGGACTTGGGGGGTCTCCAGGCTCTCAGCCCCAGGAGGCACTGTGTCAGTATGGCTCCACCTTCCTAGAAGCTGGGATGTTTCTTGGAGTTAAATACTAAACACGGCAGAAGCCAAACCAAAAAAATGATCTTATCTGTGGTTCTCTATCTGACATACACCGCAGGCACTGGTGTGGAAGAAAAATTACCAATCATCTATTCCCTAAGGCAAAAATTAAAACACTAAACTCAAGAGCTAGGGGACATAGGGGCTTATCTCCTGAGAAAGAGTTAGGGAAAGCAATTTTCTTTCCCAAAACTAAAGGTAAAGAAACAGCAACACTTGCCCATCCAGCCAAACGGCCACTGCACCCCACGACCTAGTTTCTCCCCCTAGTCACCCCTTATGAGGTGCCTTTCTGCCTCATCAAGGAACATCAAACACTCAACACAAATCCAAGTCACCAACAGTAAACACCTAGGCCCTCAGCATCACTTCCTCCTCGGACTTCTCAAAACACAAATGCCACAAGTTCAGAAATCTTTCGGGAACTTGACTTTGGAAAGGAAGGGAAGGAAAATCCAAAACGTCAAACATGAAACAAACTAGCATGTCTTTTCTGCTCAACTAACTAGAGTCCGGATCAGCATATTTACATAAAGCTGTCCTCACCCCTCAAACAGGAGTGACGTGAAACCTCAACATTCCTGTCTTGCTCCACACACATGAACACACACGTTCACAGCCTGAGCCAACTGCCTCGCCTTTCCTGAGGTCACAGAAGTTTTCCCCTACTGTAGAGAAGGGGGTACGGTTTAGTTGAAGAATTGTAAGTAAGATAATCGGCTCTCAAGAACACAAAAGCTCACTGTGGCAGCTCTAGCATGTCCAATCACTCATCCCAGGAAACACTAAGAGCTCATGGAAGAGCCCCTCCTACAGTAGATTGTAAAGCCCACTGTTTATAGAAACTGAGATGGAAAGCTGGAGGCTTACACATAGAAGAATGTCAAACTGTATACATGGGCATCACAGCTCAGGTATAGCCAAGGGCAGCCCAGTCTGCAAACCTGGGGCTCTCCAGAAGCCTAGCGGTAACACCTGCCATCCCACTCTCCTAAAATCTGTCATTGTCTTTGGGAATCTGTTGCCTGTTACTCAGCTACTCTCCATTTCAGCCTATCATCAGTGTAATTATAAGAGAAAGTAAGATTAATACCATCCACCAAGGGAAAAAAAATACCACCCACCCAGGGCAATGCTGAAAGATGCAATAAATGCAGCAAAAAGTACAAAATGAAGGCAGGTCACTACTGCCTAAGCATCTGGATTTTTCCATTGAGAGACTTGTACTTAATAACCCAGTTGAGTAAACAGCCTCATTAAGGAGTAAAGCCAGTTCATGGCCCATAGCTTCCACTCCTCTGTCCGGTCATGATCCTAACCCTCAACTAGTAAGAAATAAAACAAGTAAGAAAATACTTATCAAACTTGAAATCAAATTAACCAAGTTAAAACTTTCTAGGGGACAAGGTATAGCTAAAATGGTGGAGCACATGCCTAGCATGCATGGGGCCCTGGGTTCAATCCCCAGTACCTCCATTTTAAAAAACTAATCAAAAAACAAATGACTTCCTCACAACAAAAAAATAAAAGTTAAAAAAAAAAAAAAACACTTTCTGGACAAGCAGGAACAAGGTCAGAAATGGTTCTCATGAACCCTTCGTCACTGACACCACCCAGTAAGACTCTTGCCACAAACCGACTGAGAATATAGTTCTTATTTCTTCACAAGAAGTCTTCACAATTGTGAAATCACAGGGGACTTTTAAAACAGCCCAATATAATACCACAATGCCCCAACATTGAAGGTTCTAGGAGAGTCTGAGTCTCTGAAGCAGACATTTCTTGGTGGAGTCCTGGGTATTCAGCCTTCTGAAAGCACCAGACATTTGGGCTCCACTTCTTGCTTCTTAGGTTAACTTCTTATGCAGTTCCGTGCTTGAACTTCCCCAGTGAGTACAGCTCCTCCTTTTTCCCTATATACTTGAAACACTCCTTGCCCAATTCTACCTTCTCTGATTTATGAGGGGGGAAAAAAAAAGGAAATAGAAACCACCTACCAGACACCGAAAAAATGTTTGAGTAAAACATATAAATAGAAAAGAATGAGACTATGGGAAAAATGAAAAGGCAGTTAATTTTCAAAAACAAAGGAAAAGTGACAAAGGTAAAGCTGAGAAAGATCCAGAGATAAGAAGGAAGAGCAGTGAACACGGGGAAACAGTAACCATCAGGACTCCAGACAGGAGCACATCCCATCACTCATAAAACCAAACCAAATTAACAACAAAAACAAACAAACAAAACTCACTAGACCCAAGAGAACTGAATCAATTTGGAAATTAGTTTTTAAAAGTTGAAAATGAAGAAATTCCCCTGCCCTTCCTGTAAACACCATAGCTCAGGGTGACCAAGAGTTGAAAATGACAAAGCTTCCCTTTATGAAAATAATTCCACCAATAAATAAAAGAATTAGAATTAAAACATCAACATTTTGCAATCCCTAATGAATTAATGGACCTTGAGCAATGATCGTGAATAGCTCCTAACATCACACACACACAAAAAGACAAGACATGTATCTCATAAGGCAGATACACAAGCCTACAACCCTACAAAGTGGGGGAGGGGAGGTGCTGAGGGGTGTATGCGATCTGAGAGTCAGACCTACCTTCTAGATCTAACCACCAATCCACGGTGCCAGGGGAACATGTTAAATGACTCACGGGGAGAAGCCATCAGCCAAATCGAGACTATTTGAATCTCTACAGGGCAAACAACTTGGTTTCCCACATTTAAAAAAAAATAAAACAAATAGCTGAGAGGGAAAGAAAACAAGAGGGGGAGGCAGAAAAGGAGCCCATACAAGTTGTATCAACCAAATGTACCTTATTCGATATAAAGGGGAAGAAAAGACAACTGTGAGCACTTGCTGGATATCATCAATATCATTAATATCAAAGTTAATGTTTATGAACAATAATGGGTTTAGGATTATGCGTGAGGAAGATTCCACATTCTGTAAAGACACATAGTAAAATAGTTACAGATAAAAATGATTTGATATCTAAGAACCACTTCAAAATAATCTTTGAATAAAGGGGGTGGGAAGAGATAAATTGGGACTTCCAAATTTGCACCTTTTGGGGAGTGATGGAAATGTTAGCTATTTCGATTGTGATGGTGGTTTCACAGGTGTATATGTCTATCAAAATTCATCAAATTGTATATCTGAAATATGTGTACAGGAATTATACCACAATAAAGGTGTTTCAAAAATAATAATCTTGAGAGGTAAGAGTAGGGGGTTCAGATAAGTCAAGACTGCTCATGAGTTGGTAATTATTGAAGCTGGCTTAGTGTTAACACAGGGTCTGTTTTCCCTCTACACTTCTAAGCTCTTGATTGAGATGCCTCATAATAAAAGATAGACTAACAAGAGAAAAAATAAGTTTATTAAAATGTATACCTCCTGTATAGATTGAAGACACACAGAAGAAGTGAGTAACAACCTGAGATTACCCAAGCCATCACCTTAAATACCATTTCCAGCTAAAGACAAAATATGGGAGAAAGGGGAGGCTTAGGAGAATTTCAAACAAAAAGCAGAGTAAGCAAGGGAACAATGGTAGGGTTGGGTTTATTCTGCAAACTTAAGTCTTCTGAAGAACTTCTCCATGGACAGGATTCTTTTGTTATTTACAGCCATCCTTCTCTTCCCAGTACAGAAAGAGAGACACGCTTACAAATGGAGATTTCCTTTATCAATGTAAATGTCTTTGTGTCTATTTTTCAAAAAATATTCAGCTCAAAATAATCTTTATGCCAAAGAAGTATATTCTAGGGTGTTGCATTCTCTACCTACCATGCCTATTCTATTTTTACATTTTTGAAATGTTCTCTAAAACCTACAAGAAAAAAAAATAATAATGCAGGAAGCAGTTGACAGAGAATAGAGCTGTTGCCAGAAAAAAAATACCTTCTCTTGGCTCTGACCCATCAGCGGGGGCTGTGCCAGGAGAGGAACATCAGGACAGAACGCAAACAGCACTGGCCTAGGAATCAGAATCTTTTGCTTCGGAAACCAGGTCAGCCACCAGCAAGCCACATGACCCTAAGTAAGTCCATCATGCACCCTCCTACACCTCCAAGTCCTTATCTGCAGAAACACTTGCCTTGTCTATCCTGGGACAGCTAAATGAGACACCACAGCTCAAAGTGCTCTGAAACCAACATAAACATAAGCGTAAGCTGCGATCAATTTTATTAAACACAAGTTGTGGGAAGAGACCTATTCTTAATAGCAGAGGCAGGGTTCACAAAGGACTTGGAAAACTCATTACTGCTTTCAGGTGATCATGGTACAAAAAGAAATTGAGAGAAGTCATTCATAAAAGCCTGTTTTCCTAGACAGTAATTAACAGTTTCACTTGTAAGCAGGCCTTAAAAATTTAACCATTTTGAATGCAAACTTTAAAAAATTATCACCTACTTCCCTAACTTCAAGACAATGGACTGAGGTGGGTGGGAGGACCAGTGAAATAGGTGAGGGAAATTAAGAAGTACAAACTTCCAGTTATAAAATAAGTCATGGGGATGCAATGTACATACAGCATAGGGAATATAGTCAATGATGCCGGGGTAACTCTGTATGGTGACAGAGGATAACTAGACTTATGATGGTCATCATTTTACAATGTATAAAAATATTGAATCACTATTTTGTACACCTGAAATTAATAAGTCAATTATATTTCAATTAAAATTTTAATACAACAATTAAAACTTTGGGGAAAAAACCAAAATGGATTCAAAAGCACAACCCTCATTTACGACTCAGGTCATCACTGTAGATATTTGAATATCTAATGGCTAACGCTATGCACTCAAGACCCATCAGGGTGTACACAGCAGGTCTGCTCTGCCTGGCCCCTGTCCACTTCTCTCAATGCCCCCTCTACCTCTTCTTTGCAGTGTGGTACTCAGTGTTTGCTCTCTGTCCACAGTATCTTTGCCACCAGTGGCCATGTCTCAGCCTCCTGAGCTGAATGGAGGTGAGGAACACTTGGAAGAAAAGGGGTGGGAAATAATTGCAAAGGCCCAGAACAGCTCTTGGGACCAGCCCTGAGTCGAGGCATCAATCCCACTGTGGAACTCAGAGGATTCTGTTTACTTCCAGCCCATCAGCTGAGTTCCAAAGTGAAGATTTACATGAGTGTGTGCCTTCCTACAGGCTCCACTTGGACCAGAGACGATCAGCAGAGTGGCCTTGGACAAAGGCTAAGTGACCAGACAAGGCCGAGCCATTTCTAAGGGTCCCAGGATGAGGACATAACCCTGGCTACTCCTCCTGCTCTCAGGGGAAGGGTCTGGGTGAACCCACACTTGCTCTGAGGTCACCCCACTTACACACCAGCAGGTAGAGACCTCATCTCTCACAGAGAAGGCTTCAGATGCCATGGGGAGGTGGCCTCTGTGTCTCTGGCCCATACAGAGGCATCAGGCTCCTCCTTTCCACCCTGAGGGCCCTGGGCAGATAGAGACCTGTCCTCCCCACCCAAAGTCCCCCATGGAGGTACACACAGGGGCCAGGAGTGCTGGCAACTCACTGGCTGTTCTAATTAGCCATGGCCCGCAAGAGCTCGGCGTTAAACAGCAGCCTGGTCCTTGTTTCTCTGTTACCATCATTCCTCAATTCTCATAGGACAGAGGTTTTCATACTTCAAAGTCCTAACCCCAAAAGCCTCGCCCTGGACTGCCTCTTCCCGCTGGTGCTGTCAGCAGTGCCGGGGGCGGCCTGGCCTGCTCTGTGGGTGGTAACAGCACGCTGTTGGAGAATCACGGGTGCTCTACGAGGCATTCTGTGCACCAAAGGAATTAAGAGGGCTGGAGGCCACACAGGACATGTGTTTACATTTTAGAGAATCCTGGCCTGAGTTTAGATCTTCTACTATCTAAAATGCAAAGACCAACAAGCGGCGTAGATAGGCTACAAGATGGAAAACTACTTCATAAAATCAATTATGTAACATTCAATCCAAGTAGCTCAGTAATTAGTTTCAATCACCAAAAACTCAAAGCGGCACCTCAAAATGATTTTTGGAATGTAACAGATCCTTACTACCTTCCTCATAAGGAATCATCTCTCTAATTTCTTCAAAGGAACAGCATGTCAACAGGAAGCCTAGGAAAAGGGGAGTATTTGTGTTGGATTTCAGGCTTCTTTGGCTGCCAGGAAAAAATTCAAGATTTACTTCTCATTCAGCTTTAATGGCCTGGAGCTCCCTGAACTTGACTGTATTAGAAGATTTCTGCCACTTACTATTCTAACTACAGTTTTAGAAATAGATCACACGGCAGTCACCAGGCTCACCTAGGGAATCTAGGCCACTGTCCAACTTGATCCCATAAACCACCGAGACTGGCCTGAGCACAGCAATCAGCCTCCTGGGAGAAAGCCCAGCTCCACCTGACGGCTGATTTACCTGCCACCCTCCCTGGGACTGTCTGGTCCCACCCAGCTGTCATCCAGGACCTCAGCCTGCGGCACACCTGCACGTGAGAAAGAGGATTCAGACAACAGAACAGGACAACTGCTCCACAGGCCAGGAACTGACTTGGGTTCTCATTCCCACCGAGCAAATGCACCCCCAGATTCACAGACACCAGCTGTCAGCAAGCAACCAGGCACTCTCACTAAGTAACAACACACGGGACTTGGCCTGTGCCCGGATCATCGCAATCAACACAGTCACCATCCAAGACCCACTACCTTCCCAGTGGTCCATCTAAAGGAGCTGATCTGGAATGGTGTCTTAAGAGTCTGGATGGATGTTTATAACTTAGCTCACCAGGGTAGGCACAACCTCATATACTCCAGGACGGTGTCCAGTGGAAGATGCCTTCCTAAAGGGCTCCTGGTGCACTGAACACAGCACGACCTGCTGCTAGTGTGAACGCCTTAGTCACTTCCAGCGCCCGGAGGAAGTGGTCACCTGGGCTCTGCCCTCACTTACGTTCCCCAATGTGACTTCCTGCTCCAGGGCCTTCTTAGCATCTTACTTACTATCCTCATGTCAAGTCCAAGTTGCATGTGTCTGAGACCCTGAAGACAAAACTCTCAAGATGAGCTTTCCTGATACTGGACAAGCTATCAGTCATTGAAATGGTCTGGATCCTAAATCAGATGGAACCTCAGCCTGTCCTTTGTGCTTTGTGTGACCACAGACACACTATGTAACTACCCGGCACTCAGTGTCCTCCTTCCTAAAACGGGGGTAATATGATATCTACGACTTCACCGAGTTGGCCCAGGGAATAAAACTGATACCACACAAGTGTTCATAGCAGCTCCCGATACACAATATTTTTTCACTACTTACTACTGTATTACTAGACTACCAACTGTACTACAGCCGCCCCCACCACCACTACTGCTGGCCCCCATACTGCCTCCAGGGCTACTGAGGACAAGCCTGCTGGTTTGTAACAAGCTCATTTGTAATATAATACCTACTTCTTCACTGAGGAATCAAAGAGATACTACAGAGTGCTCCTGGCAGTTCCCAAAACATAGTATTTTAGAAGTACTCACTTCTGTTATTGAAGGAATATAAAGCAAACTAACAAACTGACTTCCCTGATGCGAAACTGTTTGCTGACTCATTCTTTACTGAGAAGAACTTTAACCCAGAGGCTACACTCCAGGAAGGAGATAACAGGCTGATAATCTCAGAAGAATGGACAGACCCTCTGGAGTTCCTCCTGAAGATACACAGAGGTTAAGAGGAATGTAGCACCCTGTAAAACACCCTGATTGTTATCACCCTTCCTGTCCCATCCAGTTTTTCTATAAAACCTCAAGACCCCAACCCCAGGATGGGCTCACAGCCTTTAAGGCATGAGCCTGCTGTGATCCCTTTGCAGGCAAAGCAATAAAGCTGCTCTTCTCTTTGCTCCCAAAACTCTGCCTCTGAATTTGAATTCACTTTCCCGGGTGCAAAGGCTGATTTTTTCAGCAAGTGACATTATTACTACAGTAAGAGTAGTGCCACCAACACTACTACTGAGTGTGAGCCCCCCCCCTTACTGCTATGAGTACTTCTAGCACTGCTAGAGGGTGAGCCCCCACGTTTGCCAGGTCCTCTACTCCCCACATTTCTGCCCTGACCACCCAATAGCCAGCCTCCTGAAAGAGAGGCCAGAGCTCTATCAGTTGCAGCCTTTAGAAAAGCATTTAGCTGATGCGACCTGCTCAGGTTAACAATTAGTTTCTGAGTACTCATAAAATGCCTCATGTTCTTCTGGGCTGGGGTCCAAATTTACTTCCAAATCACATATTCCTTGAGGACGTAGGGTCTTCTTTTGGATAAGGATAACTCTTAGCGCTTAGATCATTTAGTAGCACCAAGAACATTCTAACATGGTTTAAAATGTCTTTTCAGTGTCATCAGCCATGACACTGCGTTTTAATGGATTAAAAGAAAAACGGTAATCGCTCAGAAGTCCAGTCCTTTAAGTGTTTTCCCATCCTAAAGATAAAGACAACTGCTGAGCTACATCACGATTCCTCAGACCTTAAACTACTGGCCTCTCTCCCCACAGGTCCCATCCATCGCAGCACTGATCTGCTTACACTGAAAACCAATGCACTGTATGGAAAAGCTTTTACCTCAATTAATGTAAAAATTCCCAAAACTAAATAGGATTTCCAGTAACACTTTATGATTGCTTTCGTTAAAGAAGGCTCCCGTGCGTCTTTCTCGGCTTTTAAAACTTCTTGATCCCAGTACCTGCAGTGGAAAACAAAGCACAGTGGAGAACAGGGAGCCCATCTCAGGTAAAACGGGCCCAGGGGGTGGGAGGCGGAGAGGGAAGAGAAGCATTTACTGCAGGGCGCATCGTGGCTCTTCCTACAAATGCTGGCTAACAGCTTGCAGGGCTCCTGAAAGATAAGCAGGGCCAACTCCAAAGCACCAGAAAAACCTTGAGGGAAGGAGTCCTGGGAGACAAGATGCTGCCAAGCTTTGCTGGATTCACAGGGCCATGAGCCGCCCCAGAGGGCAGATGACCTCCTCTGGCCACACCGCCTCCAGGGACCGAGCTCTGCATCCAGGCCCTTTGCTGCCAGCTCCCTCCCATTCCACAAAATGCACTGGAAACACAGTGTAGGCCGCCCGGGGCCAGCCTGAGAGGGTGACCTGGCAGTGTTAGGGGAAGAAGGACCCAGAGGAAAGCAAACCCAGTTGAAACCATTCACTAGCCACATGGAGAATCTCGTTCTTCCTTCCCCTTCTCCTGACTGCTGGCCGGCTGCTTACCCTTGTAACTCTTCTCCAAGGTGCTTAGAGCGATCTTCTGGAAGCACTGAGTACATGTCATCTTCTTCTAGTCTCCGTTTGTGACCAATTTTAAACAAGGGGTTTAGCCACCTGTTAAAAGTAAAAGAAAAGTAAAGTGACACATATCCAAATTACACATCTCTAATTAGAATCCTATATTCATGGGCTTTGTGTAAAAAAAAAAAAGGTCTACCTTTTAAATATGTACAGATATGAGGGGGAATTAGACGGGTTTACACACACACACACACACACACACACACACACACAAGTATTTAATATACTCCCTGACTCTATTAACTGAGATGTCCTGGAAGCAATGACACACCAGGAGCAAAGAATTCCAGCTCCCAGATCTTATTTTTGTTTTTACTATACACAATTTTTCTTTTGATGAGAGCTTTTAAGGTCTACTCTCTCAACAGTTTTCAAAATGCAATACAGAGGGAGGGTATAGCTCAGTGGTAGAGTGCATGCCCGGCCAGACAAGGTCCTGGGTTCAATTCCCAGTACCTCTGTTTAAAAAAACAAATAAACCTAAAATTACCTCCCCTGTCATTAAAAAAAAGAATGCAATACAGTACGATTAGCTATAGTCACCACGCTGGACATCACATCCCCATGACTTACTTATTTAATAACTGGAAGTTTGTGCCTTTCGGCCCCCTTCACCCAGATCTTGACTTTTTAATATCCTTCTTCCCCAAAAGGAAGCATGGCTGTTGAAGCAATGGCTGATTCCATGGTTGGGGCAGTGTGTGTAAGCACCTGACAATTAGCTTATTTGATTGTAAGTGCCTGACATTAAGCTTCTGAGACATCCACTTCAAAGACATCCATCCAGAATAAATACAGGCCAGCTACACAGCTAGATAAAGAGTCCGCAACATGGATGGACTTGGACGGCACTGTGCTAAATGAGATAAGTCAGAGAAAGGCAAGTACTGTGCAATGTCACTTATATGTGGAATCTCAAAAATACAACAAACTAGTGTACAGATATGACATAACAACATACATAACATAACAACATACAACATAACAACAACATAACAAAAACAACAACAACAAAAAAGCAGATTCACAGACATAGAACAAACTAGTGGTTACCAGTGGGTGGGGACAGGAGGGAAGTGAGGGCAGTCCAGGGGGTGAGGAGTGGGAGGTACAAACTACTGCGTGTAGGACAGGCTCAAGGATGTGTTATACAACATGGGGGAGGTAGCCAATATTTTGTATTGACTGCAAATGGAGAATAACATTTTAAAACTGTACTAAATTTTTTTTAATTCTGAGTACACGTACACACACACAAACACACACACACAAGCAGATGTGCTTTTTACCCACTGTCCCTCAGGAGACTAACAGAAAAGATGGGCAATTAGGTCTTCTGACAACAAAGTCTTTTAGTGAATTACTAACAGAAAATAATCATATTAAAAAAAATAAATGAGTCAGGCCACCCCACCCATGAAGTTCCCTTTTAGGAAGCTCCGGTAGACCTGATAAGTGACCATCTCACTGAACGCTTGCTTCTCCTATCCTGCACTTTAATTCCTGCTCTTATGTGTTAAGTTAACCAAAAGAGAGTGAACCTGGGAAACTCCAGAAACCCCACCCACAACCCCAAAAAGATACAATCCCCAGCACTCTTTCTCCTTCTGCCCAGGACCTCGCTGTGTGGCCCCAGGGGTGCCCTCTACCCTCCAGAGAGGCATCTCACAATCATAACCAACACAAGGGCCGGTCCAGCCACAACACTGGCTCCAACGGGAATGGGGGACAGGGGGAGCTGTATAGCTCAAGTGGTAGAGCATGTGCTTAGCATGCACAAGGTCCTGGGTTCACTCCCCAGTACCTCCTTTAAAAATAAATAAACCTAGATACCTCCCCCACCAAAGAATAAAAAATTTTTAAAAAGTTAATACAAAGGGGAAGATCACTGGGGGCTGCTATAACTGACAGAATTTAGTGCGTTACCCTGAGGCTCTCACAGATTGCTTGAAGTTTATCAGTCCATGGGAAATAAACATCGGTGCATTTTGGTTAACTTAGAAGATATGTCATCTCATGCAGCTTGCAAAGCCGAGCTTTGTGCCCCAGTACAAGCATCACTGATGTGAGTACCTACATATCTGCAGTAGCCCCAACCTGATTTTCCAGTCACTTATCCCTCTATCCCCCTTTTTCACAGCCATCCTATGGCACAGTGAACACACATTGACACTACTACCTTTATCCCCCAGCACTATCTCCCCAGAAGGTCTTCATCCTTTTTAATACTTTGTTTTTTTAGTGCCATAATAGGTTCGCAGCAACACTGCACAGAAAGTCAAGAGTTCCCACGTACCCCTTCCCCCCAAATACACACAGCCTTCCCCCTTACCACCATCCCCCAGAGTGGTACATTTGCTGCAACTGATAAATCCACCCTGACACATTATTATCACCAAAGTTCACAGTTTACATTAGGCTTCACTCCTGGGACTGTACATCCATGGGTTTTGACAGATATCCATCATTATTGCATCACAGAGTCGTTTCACCACCATGAAAATCCTCCATGTTCCACCTGCTCATCCTTCCCTCCCTCTAATCCCTGTCAACCACTGATCTTTTCACTGTCTCCATAGTTCCACCTTTCCAGGATGTCATATAATTGGAATCACATACTATGTAGCCTCTTCAGACTGGCTCCTTTCACTGAATAATATGCATTTAAGGTCCCTCCGTGTCTTTTCATAGCTTGATAGCTCATTTTTTTTCCTTTTTAGTATTGAACAATATTCCATTGTATGGACGGACCACAGTTCATTTATTCATCCACGAATGAAAAAACATCTTGGTTGCTTCCAAGCTTTGGTAATTACGAATAAAGCTGCTATAAGCATCCGCGTGGAGGGTGTGTGGACGTCAAGTTTTCTGCTCCTTTGGGTAAATGCCAAGGAGAGGAACTGCTGGAATCAGATAATAAGAGTATGTTCAGTTTTGTGAGAAACTGCCAGACTGTCTCTCGAAGTAGCTGGGCCATTTTGCACTCCCCACCAGCAATAAGTGTTCCTGTTGCCCCTATTTTTAAATTTGACTTAATCAATACCTGCTTCAGTTCTAGCCCCTTCATAGAGTCCTCTCTGACCTCTCTCCAGCAAACCTCTCCTTCCCTGGACCCATGGGCAGCTTCTGCAGCACTTATCAAAAATCCTTGGTACATATCCTCTCATACCAGAAGTCACTCACTGGACGCCCACACACAAGATCCCTACAACAAACATGTAATAATAACGGTGCACATTATCTTAAAAAATAATACCTGTGTTAAAAAAATAAAAATTAAAAATAATCGCTAAAAGAAGGAAATTTCCCATAAAAATCCAGATTCCCAAATGCTCTTGAACACTCAGAAGGTCCACCCACACTACATACACGTTTCCCCTGGTATTTTCTATTCTACTCTGATATTTGCTGTTCTATCCTACTCCATTAAAAAAAAAATGCAGGTCATGGTATACCATGATGATAGCATTATTCACAGCAGCCAAAAAGTGGAAGCGGCCCAAGTAACCAATGAATGGATAAACGAAGTGTGGTATCCGTGTACAATGAAGTATTATTCAGCCTTAAAAAGGAAATTCTGACACCTGCTACAACATGGATGAACCCTGAGGATAGACAAATACCATATGATTCAACTTATGTGATGTATCCAGAAGAGTCAAAAACCTAGAGACAGAAAGTAAAATGGTGACCACCAGAGGATGGGGAAATGGGGGGACAGGGAATTGTAGTAATGGGTACAGAGTTTCAGTTTCCCCAAGAATTCTGTGCGTGGTATTGATGGTTGCCCAGGGGTATAATGCCACTCAAGCCACTTGACTGTACACTTAAAAATGGTTAAGATGGTAAACGTTGTGTTACATGTAATTTACCACATTTCTTAAAATAATTTTTAAAGAATTATTTTAAATTATTTTTAAAAAGAAACACCTGTTGTAATGACCCACTAATGGGCTGAGGTCTTATGTTTTAAAAGCACTGGTGTAGCTTAGCACTTAGCACTATTATCACAGACCAGGCTCACGCGACGGCAGGACGGTGTCCCATAGAGTTTGCACCCTCCTTGAGCAGCTCGGTTCCCAGGACACTGTGAAGGTGAGGGAACACCTGAGGTCTCTTCTGAGGAAGGCTTCCTCCTTCCACAGCTCACACTTGGCCGCCACTCCTGAGTCTCTTGTTTCCCATAAAGTGAGAAGGAAGTGACATGTCAAACATCCAGTACAATCTGTTCCCTCTGCTGTAAAGGCCAAATGCCCCGCAGAGCCGTGTGCCTGAGTGAGGGTGCCCACACTGCAGGGAGGACTCAAAGGGGCCCTGGGAGCACACAGAGCCACAGAAACAGCGGCACATCGTCCTGCAAGTTTTAGTAAACTGTACAGCTTTTTAAAAAAAAACAAAAACAAGTCAACACTGAACAAACAGAAAAATTGGCAAAGACCTGTGGTGCTTGCAGGCAGTTGCTTCAGCTGACACTTCTACACTCCCTAGGGGCCCCCTTCACCCCTCTCACTCAAGGGCCTCGGGGAACAGAGCTGGAGAAGCAGTGGCGTCACAGCTATACTTTCTCAATATCAAGTGGGCACAGTTTTCCAATAACAGTGCCCCGTGAAGGGTTTGTTATTTTGACCCCCCTCCAACCCTCCGCCCAAAGGCGTGTTCTCCATGCAGCCTCTGGACCCACTGCGGGCCACCCAGGCCCCACTCCCCACTCCTGCACCTCCACCAAAACCAGGCCACTAGCATCCCTCTACACCCCCAATATGGCCCCTTTCCCCAGCCTCCCATCAAACTCCCTGGAACTCTCTCTGTGACTAGCAGACACCCCCCTACCCTCAGCTCCCTGCTCTCAGCAGAGGCCTGGCTGGCCCCTGGGGACATGACCTCCCTGTAGCCTCTGGGTGGCCCTCCCGTTTCCAATTCCATTTTCTGGCCCCATGCCTCACCTACCTCTGACACCTATGAAGGCCAGGGCCCAGGCTACCTTCCAGAAAATTCTGTCACTGCCTATTATTCTTCAGCAACTTTAGCTGCTG